ACTGACTGCCGTGAGGACTTTCATCTTTACTCTGAGAGAAGTCGGAAGCCCTTAAAAGGTTTGAAGCAGGGTAATGACATAGTCAAATTTGTATTTTGAAAAAACAAAACAAAACTGTTCTTTGTAAAGAACAGTTGGACCAAGAGCTAAGAGTAGATTAGAGAGGCCAGCTGGAAGGCTATGGCACTGTCCAGAAGAGACATGGTGATGGTTTGGACAAGAGCAGTGGTGAGGAAGACAGAATGAATTCAGAGACATTATAGCAGGAAAAATCACTCTGTTTTAGAGATGCATTGGGTATGGGGGATGGTGAGGTAAAGGGAATATCAAGGATGACCTGCTTATTAGCCTTTAGTCCAGGAAGGAACTCGGTTGTTTTGTTAGTTTGGGATCTCCCCAGGTGAAACAACCTCTTGCTGTCATACACTCAGAGATTAATGCTGGAGAAGTTACCTCTTGCCCCATGATCCTAGGAAAAGCAAAGAAGTTGCTAGTTCCTTGCCACCAGTTGGCCTCATCTTGTCCTCAGCTGCCTCCATAGCCTTTCCACTTCTCCCTGCTTCTTTTGTTCCTGGCCTCCTGAATGTCGCCTGTCACTTTGTGTGTTTGAGTCTTTGCACACACAGCTCTATTTTGGATTCCCTATTTTCCCAGTCTGGGTCTCACTTTTTGCCTTATTTGACCCCCAGAGTCAGGAACCCCTTCAGGAAGCCTCCCCAGAGAAAGGTTTCCCCACTCTACTTTGGACATATATATTTTTTTAACCTTGAAGCATTTTGGTTGCTTTTGAGGTTAGAAGGAGATGGTTATGCACATATACTCATGTACTTAAGTTCCCATTAATTTTTTTAGCCAAAGATACAGAAACTCCCTATTGAAGTGGGGCAGCAGGAGCAGAACAGCTTGTCTTGGCATGCTGTTTCCCTGGCTCCTTAGTTCTCTGGTGGAGACACAGTGGTCAGTGGAATTTGGAGTTCACTGTGGTTCTCTCAGAATTGAGAAAATGTGAATTCTTGCTACACCATTACCTTTTAATACTTAGGGTTTACCTGATCAAGTTCTGAGAGAACTTGCGCTGTATGCTTCCCTTAAAGGAATTTTTTAAATATTGTCATCCTTTTTTGATCCTTGAATCAAATCCAGCATCAGCAAGGCCATGCCATCCTTTGGCAGGAGAAAGCACAGAGCAGCATTTCTTCTAGATTTCTAGTAGCTTGAACCCTTTCTCTAAAATTTTCTATCCCTGTGGCAGTTAACATTTCTCTTTGTATTCTTAGAACCTACCACAGTGGCTGGTATATAGTAGTTGCTTGGTAAATGATAACCGCATGAATGAATGAATAAGTGTAACATTCTGCTGTAGTATGTGATCTTGCACACTTGCTTTTTAACCAATGTTTTTTAAAATTTTTGTTTCCAGTATAATTAACGTACGGTGTTATATTAGTTTCAGGTGTATAATATAATGATTGAACATATATATTAGTACTCATCATGATTAAGTATACTCTTGATCCCCTTCCCCTGTTTTGCCTACCTCCCCACCAACCACCTCTCTAGTAACTGTGAGTGTGTTGTCTATATTTAAGAGTCTGTTTTGGGGGGGCACCTGGGTCATTAAGCGTCTACCTTCAGCTCAGGTCATGATCTCAGGATCCTGGGATCGAACCCCACCTTGGGCTCCCTGCTCCGTGGGAAGCCTGCATCTCCCTCTCCCACTCCCCCTGCTTGTGTTCCCTCTCTCGCTGTGTCTCTCTCTGTCAAGTAAATAAATAAAATCTTTAAAAAAAAAAGTCTTTTTTTTTGTCTCTCTTTTGTTCGTTTTGTTTCTTAAATACCACATATGAGTGAAATCGTATGGTATTTGCCTTTCTCTGATTGACTTATTTCACTTAGCATTATGTCCTCTAGATTCATGTTGTTGCAAATGGCAAGATGTCATTCTTCTCTATCTATATCTGAGTAATATTCCATTTTACATACATATAGCACGTCTTCCTTATCCATTTATCTCTTGATGGACACTTGGGTTAGATCCATATCTTGGCTATTGTAAATAATGCTGCAGTAAACATGAGGGTGCATATATCTTTTCAAATTAGTGTTTTTGTGTTGTGTGAATACCCAATAGTGCAATTACTGGATCCTATGGTAATTCTATTTTTAATTTTTGAGGAACCTCCATACTGTTTTCTGCTGGTGCTGTGGCTGCACCAGTTTGCCTTACCACCACCAGTGCACAGTTTTCTGCCCATTTTTCAAATGGATTATTTGGGGGTTTTTTGGTGTTGAGTACCTCTTATCAGATATATCACTTGCAATATCGTCTTCCGTTCAGTAGGCTATCATCTTGTTTTGTTGTTTCTTTTGGTATGGAGAAGGTTTTTATTTCGATCTAATCCCTATAGTTTACTTTTGGTTTTGTTTCCCTTGCCTTAGGAGACATGTCTAGAAAAATGTTCCTACAGCCAATGTCAAAGAAATTATTGCCTGTGCTCTCCTCTAGGATTTTTATGGTTTCGGGTCTCATATTTAGGTTCTTAATTTATTTTAGGTTTATTTTTGTGCATAGTGTAAGAAGGTGGTCCAGGTTTCCCAACACCATTTGTTGAAGAGACCGTCTTTTTGCCACTGTATATTTTTGCCTCCTTTGTCGTACATTACTTGCCCATATAATTGTGGGTTTATCTCTGGACTCTATTCCATTAATCTGTGTGTCCATTTTGTGCCAGTACCATACTGTTTTTTTTTTTTAAAGATTTTATTTATTTATCTGAGAGAGAGAGACTGAGAGAGAGAGAGCATGAAAGGGGGGAGGGTCGGAGGGAGAAGCAGATTCCCTGCCGAGCAGGGAGCCCGATGTGGGACTTGATCCAGGGACTCCAGGATCATGACCTGAGCCGAAGGCAGCCGCTTAACCAACTGAGCCACCCAGGTGCCCAGTACCATACTGTTTTGATTACTACAGCTTTATAGAATATCTTGAAATCTAGTATTGTTATACTTCTAGTTTACTACTTCTTTTTCAAAATTGCTTTGGCTATTCAGGGTCTTTGTGGTTCCACACAAATTTTAGGATTATTTGTTCTAGCTCTGTGAAAAATGCTTTTGGTGTTTTGTTAGGGATTGCATTAAATGTGTAGATTGCTTTGAGTAGTGTGGACATTGTAACAATATTTGTTCTTCTAATCCATGAGCATGGAATATCTTTCCATTTGTTTATGTCTTCTTCACTATCTGTCTATTTATTTATCTGTCTGTCTGTCTGTCAGAGGGGGAGAGAGAGAGAGCACAAACAGGGGGAGCGGTAGGCAGAGGGAGAAGCAGGTTCCCTGCTGAGCAGGGAGCCTGTCGTGGGACTTGATCCCAGGACCCTGGAATCATGACCTGAGCCAAAAGCAGATGCTTAACCAACTGAGCCACCCAGGCGTCCCTTTTTCGACATCTTTCATCAGTGTTCTATAGTTTTCAGAGTATAAGTCTTTCATCTCTTTGTTTAGTTATATTCTTAAGTATCTTATTATTTTCAGTACAATTATAAATGAGATTGTTTTCTTAATTTCTCTTTCTGCTACTTCATTATTAGTGTATAGAAATGCATCAGATTTCTGTATATTGATTTTGTATCCTGTGACGTGACTAAATTCATTTATCAGGTCTAGTAGTTTTTTAGTGTGGTCTTAAGGTTTTCTACATACAGTATCATGTCATCTGCAAATAGTGGAAGTTTTACTTCTTCCTTACTGATTTCTTCTTGTCTGATTGCTGTGGCTGGGATTTCCAGTACTATGTTGAATAAAAGTGGCAAGAGTGGATGTTCTTGTCTTGTTTCTGATCTTAGGGGAAAGTTTTTTCCCATTGAGGATGATGTTAACTGTGGGTTTTTCATAGATGGCCTTTATTATGTTAAGGTATGTTTCCTTTAAACCTGGTTTGTTGAGAGTTTTTATCATGAATGGATGTTGTACTTTGTCATATACTTTTTATGCATCTCTTGAAATGAGCATATGGTTTTTATGCTTTCTGTTGTTCATGTGACCTATCACATTGATGGATATGCAAATATTGAACCACCCTTGCATCTCAGCAGTAAATCCCACTTGATCATGTTGAATGATTTTCTTAATGTATTGTTGGATTTGGTTCGCTAATATTTTGTGGAGAATCTTTGCATCTGTGTTTATCAGAGATACTGGCCTGTAGTTCTTTTTTTGTAGTGTCTTTACCTGCTTTTTATTTATCTTTGAGTAATGTGTACAATGTGTATGAATAGCCCATCCATTCACATTACTTGTTTTTTCAGCTAGTGGATGGGCCCTTCTGAGATGGGTGGGCATAGCTTTTTAGTTTCTATTGATTCCATTCCCTGCCTCCTTGGCTTGCTCTATCCTCTTACCTTCCAATCACACTCTGGTCTAGGGCTTGGGAAATAATATAGGAGATATAGTCCCTGGCTCATCAAGGAGAGAGCCTCATAGAAGGAGCCTGATGATGAATAGATGAGGGTGGTGAGGTCTAAGCCTGCTGGAATGGCAAGCTCTCTGGGGTTTTCTGGGACTGTCAAGGGGAGAGGCAAGAAGGGTGTCATGAAGGATGCAGTGATGTAGCCATGTCCTTAAGGGTGAGTAGATACTTACCATTCACTGCACGTTTACAGAAAGGCTTATTATAGCTCAGTTTAAAGAAAACAGAATAGCTTAAAGATGCAGGTTCTAACTGGAGTTATTGGTCTCTCGATTGAAGTACAGATGTCCTTGCCCATCTGCCTCATTCCCTTAATTTGATATGTATTAGCAAAAGGAGAAAATGTGTGTGAGGTGTGTGTGTGTGTGTGTGTGTGTGTGTGTCTTAGAGAGATGGATGGATTCAGGTAATGGAACACAGCAGAGTCTGGTCTTCATGAGTTAATAAATCCTGTTGGCTTGTTAGCCAACCATTCCATTGCAGTGTCCCTTCAAGGACTGTCTACCTCATGAGCCCTCTTTCTTCTTGGCTTTTAGGGCAGGCTGTCCCTGCTGGATCCCATGTGCGGCTGAATCTCCAGAGTGGGGCAAGAGAAGTGAAACTCCAAGAAGAGGACAAGTTCCGAAGTAATTTGAAAGGGTTGAAAAAAGGCAGAAGGTACAGTGACAACCCTAGGGACCGGGAGGTTGACAACATTGATTTTGTAATACTGAAAGTAACGACAGTGTGATGTTTGTTACCCAAATTCATGTGGCTTTTTAAAAATTTTGAAATTTAGTAGTCTAGAATTTGTGATAAATCTGTCAGGGTTTTGTGGAAGTTTACTTGTAGAATCTTTGGGAAGAAATAGTTTGCAAAGCAAATTGATACTTTAGGAAAGGCTGTAGGGGGAATGCTTAACCTGCTTTAAAAATGAAGCTATTTTTCCCAGTACTTTAAGAGCACCCATTTGAATCCCAACAATTAATGTGCTGATTACAGATGAGTCATCTATTCATTAAAACAGGCCTGTTAGGCCTTCTGCTTTGCAGTAATACTTCCTTGGTGAACAATAAAATTGCATTTTAAACTCTTTAATTCAGACTAACTTTTCCTCTTGTTAGTCCCTATTAAACAGGCTTTCTTGCAGGATAAAAGTTCTCCAATGGTAAGAGATTGCTTTATTTTTTAATAACCAGTTTAGAGTACTTGATTTTGGACAATTTGTCTCTATTTTTCTGTTCTTTGCCTTGAATTAGTAAGTATTATTTGCAAGTTCTTTTTTATGTGAGGGAGGAGGAGGCATGGGGTTTGCAGGGGCTGCTGGAATTGGGCAATTTGAAAGGTCATAAATACCAATCATGAGGTTTCTAACACAAGGACCAGCAAATTATGGCCTGTGGGCCATACTGGGACTGCTACTTATTTTTGTACAGCCCACAGCTAAGTTGTTTCTTACATTTTTTAACGGTTGGAAAAAAGCAAAAGAATGATATTTCATGGCTTTTAGAGATTTCACTGTCCGTAAATAAAGTTTTATTGGAACACAGTTATGCTCATTCGTTTATGTATGGTCTGTGGCCACTTTCCTGTTACCTGGCAGAGTTGAGTAGTTGGGACGATTGCCATAAGGCCCATAAAACCTGAAATATTATGTGGTCATACCAAAGAGTTTGATGCCCCTGTTCTAAATACATGCAAGTATTGGCAATCAATAATGGATTGAGCAGGGTTAATGTTACTCAGTCCTTGAATTTTCGTTATTTCGACAGTATTCTGCGGTTAGATAAGAGCCAGAAAGGGAGCATAGAGACCCAATTCTTACCTGAGTCATTTCTTTGATGTACTCAACAAAAGGTTATTCAGCCTGTCCATATGTACCTTCAGTCCTGTAGCACCCACAACCCCACAGAGCAGCCTGCTCAGATGTGGGTAGTTTTTAGTGTTAGAAAATTTGATTGTATATGATGATAAGATAAGGAGATATTTGTCCTCCACACAGTCACTCCAAACTGGGGAGGATCTTTATCTTCCCCCATCTCTCTTGATAGGCTTATACCTGGAGGCCATATGATGATTCATTTCTCACAGTCATTGAAGAAAGAATAAAATTTCATTGTTGTAACCCCTGCCAAGCTCCCTCCATCCCTAGCACACATATTATGCACACATATATCAGTGTCTCAGAGTATGTCAGGAGGTCTTTTATCACCGCTGTGCCAAGTCTTATTTTCTAAATAAAAAGGCTATTTTATTCTTGATTTAAGAATATTGAATTAGGAGCTTGATTAATTTGGAATTTGTTGATTTTACTACTGTGGAAAGTTCTTTTTCCAGGACCTGACCGTAGATCTTCAGTAAGATTGTGGAATGCTTTATTGGTTGCTCTTATCTTTTTAGAATAGAAATCAGAGTTATTTGTGTGGTCTATAATAGGCACACCGTAAGAGAGAGATACCTGTTCTATTTCTACCTCTTTTCTCCTTCGGAATGTTTCTGAGGGTTCTGGTCTGGAATGGCTTCCAGGGTATACTGGACATATCTTCTTACTTCTCAGCATTTATTAGTAGTGGCAAACCTGTCTGGACAGCAACCCAAAGGCATGGACAAGGTGGTGTGGGTTTCACTGCTGTGAGCTCAGTAAATCTCTGCCTGCCTTTGATGGTGACTTCTTCCTTCTGCTGTGGACCTCATCTCGGCCTCCTCCAGTTCCACTTAAAAGTGTCTTCCTGGCTCTTCAGTACCAGAATGGGAACAGAGGCCAAAGGTCAGGGCTCATTTCCACACTTGTTACAGTATTTTGATTATCTGCTTATTCTGTTTTGGGGGACAAGACAGACAAGACCCACATCTTTCCATCAGATTGTCAAAGAGGTTGGTGATCACAGGGTTAAGAACCACTGGCTAAGGAGAGATGGGGACAGTCCATTTAGCCTAATCCATGGCAGCCTGTCCACCAGTTCTGCTGGATACGGGACTGGCCACACTGCTAATGAGAGCTGTAATCACTCTGGGCTATAAAACCTGGGATAAGACATCTGACTCTGACTTGTTTCAGAGGCCTCTCCTGGCACTGCCTTCAGTGTATATTTGGTTCCTAGCAGCAGGGCTTTCTCTTGCTATTTATGTCTTAGGCATTGTCATCTCCACTGGTTTTAGTCCATATTCCTGTCAACATCCCAACATTGTATCTGTCTTTTTTACCCTGGAACAACCATCTTCTTTGAATCACCCTCTTTTGTTCAGAGGGATGAGGGACAGTGTACATCCAGGTTTTCCCATCTTGAGCATTTAACATGGTACAATACAGCATTGTGGTTAATGGAGTGGGCCAAAGACCAGGCCATTTCCTTGCTCCATTCATTCATTTTATAAAAGACCTATTGAGTGCCTATGTGCCACACATTAGAGGTACAGTAGTAAACAAAACAGGATGTCAGCATTAGAGAGGCTGGCCAGCAGAAAAACAGAAAAATAAAAATGCAAGTGAAGTAATTACAGATAGTGGTAGTATGTAGGGAAGAAGTAAGCAAGGTAATCAATCCCTAGGGAAGGCCGCTTTAAATAGGATGGTTTGGAAGACCTCATTAAGATGATATTTGAACTGAGACCTGAAGAATGACTGGGGTTTAGTCATGCAAAGAGTTAATTTTACAAGGTTAAGGTTAGAGCATCTCAGGCAGAGGGAAAAAGAAGAGTCTCCAGCTTTGTCAAGGAAGAGACTTCATCAAGTTTGGGAAACAGGAAAATGACCAGGATGACTAGAGAGTAGGAGAAGGAAGAAGAGTAGTAGATGATTTTGGAGAGTGGCCTGATGAGGGGCCAGATCATGTGGAGTTTGGAGGTGCATGTTGAGTGGTCTTCATTTAAGGAGAACTGTAATGGAAAGCCAGTGGAGGATTTGGGGTGGGAGAGTAGTTTAATATGATGTAGTTTAACAAAGTCAGTCTAGTTGCTGTGTGTATGGAGAGTAGATTGAGGATGGACAAAAGAAGCACAGAGAGACAATTAGGGTGTCATTTCAGTAGGTCAAGTAAGACATAATGGTGGCTTAGTCTAGTGTGTCATGATGGAGAGTGGTTGGGTGTGGAGATTTAATTTGGAGGTAGTGCCAACAGGACTTGCTTATGATAGATTTAGGGGTGAAGGAAGGTGGTGGGGGAGGTATTTGAGATAAAGCCTCATTTTGGGATTTAACACAACTAGGTTCTTAGAAGTACCATTTATTGAAATGGAAAAGATTGAGAAAGGAACAGATTGATGGGGAGAAACGTCAAGACTTATGTTTTAGATGTAGTAAGTTTGAGGTGCCTGATGAACATCTGAGATCCATGATATATATCAGGTAGTTGTACCACAGTCTGGCTCATACTCAGGGGAGAGGATTGGTTAAAGATGTAAAGTTGGACATCATTGCCTGACATACTTTATTTAGTTTTAAAGATTTTATTTTTTTGAGAGTACCAGCGGCGGTGTGGGGGAGGAGCAGAGGGAGAGGGAGAAGCTGACTCCCCGCTAAGCATGGAGCCTGATGTGGGGCTTGATCCCAGGACCCCAAGTTCATGACCTGAGCTGAAGGCAGATGCTTAACCGACTAAGCCACCCAGGTGCCCTGCCTGACAGATATTTTAAAAGAACTAGGGGGGCGCCTGGGTGGCTCAGTTGGTTAAGCGACTGCCTTCGGCTCAGGTCATGATCCTGGAGTCCCGGGATCGAGTCCCGCATCGGGCTCTCTGCTCGGCAGGGAGTCTGCTTCTCCCTCTGACCCTCCTCCCTCTCATGCTCTCTGTATCTCATTCTCTCTGTCTCAAATAAATAAATAAAATCTTTAAAAAAAAAAAAAAAAAAGAACTAGGGAAGAATGTGGAGATAGAGAAGATTGTTCAGGATTGAACTCCGAGGCATTCAAGTATATAGGGTTCAGATAGGAGATGAGAAACCAACAAAAGAGAGGAGGGAAGAAGGGGAAGAAACAGCAGAATGTAGTAACAAGAAGCTAGGAAGGAGAGTGTTTCAACAAGGGAGGGGTGAACTGTGTAAATGCTGCAGAGCAGTTGAGGAGCATGACATGAGTGAAGAGTCCCATTGGATCTGGTCGTCCATTATTTTAGTAATTTTTTTTAAAGATTTTATTTATTTATTTAATTGGCAGAGAGAGAGAGAGAGAGACAGAGTGAGAGGGAACACAAGCAGGGGGAGTGGGAGAGGGAGAAGCAGGCTTCCCGCCGAGCAGGGAGCCCGACGCGGGGCTCGATCCCAGGACCCCGGGATCATGCCCTGAGCCAAAGGCAGTCGCTTAACCAACTGAGCCACCCAGGTGCCCCCATTATTTTAGTAATTTTGATGAGAAGTTTTAGTAGGCTGTGAGAACTGAATCTGGATGAGAGCAAATGGCAGTGTTGGTAGCAGTCACGAAGATGAGAATAGTGAGTTAAGACAATGTGTTCATAAAGTTTTACCTTGAAGGAGAACAGGGAAATGGCATAATTAGAGACTCTGGAGTCCAAAGAGTGTTGGTATATTCAAAGGAATAATCCAACCAAAGAGAGAGATTGAAGATGCAGACAAGAGGGAGCAGTATAATTATGGGAGTTAAAGCTTTTGAAAAGGGAAGTGGGATCTGGAACATAAGTCTAATAGGAATAGGGACACTGTTATCCATTTGCCATAGAAGGGAAAGCAGACAATGTATATTTGGTGCAGGTTGGTGTATAGAGGTGATGAGGGGAATAGGAACGCATTCTTGATGATAGCATCTATTTTTCTGAGTGAAGAATGAAGTGAGAATACCACCTGAAGATGATTTGATGTCTGTGTGTGCAGTCACATATGTGCGCACTTGTATGTATGTGTAATTTGGGCTGAGAATGGGTGATGGTGAGCGGCCTGGAAGAGTGGCACTTAAGGTGGTAAATAGAGCAATGAGACATGATGGAATTTGTTCCGACCAAGTCTTAGAGGACGGAGGGGTAATCCGTTCAAGCTGTGCCCCCAAATACTTATCTCTCTCTTAGGGATAAGGGGCAGGGCAGTGGCATCCTCATGCTACTGGCATCGGGTGATGCTCTTCTGGAAGAGGGATCATCTTCCCTACCTCGTAGGATTGTGGTAATCAGTTGAATGAAATAATACTTTTAAAGGATTAAAACAGTGACTGACACATGGTTAAGTGTTCAATAAATGGGAGTGATTAATTATTATTAATTAGTTTATAAGGATTGAGGTTTAGAGAAGAAAAGTGTTTTTCTCAGGGCTCTAAGGGGTCTCTGGGATGAATCAAAGACTAAATGGGCAAAGCCCTAAGAGCATGTGCCTCTCATAAGAGCTGAGGCCTGCTGGCATCTTGACTGTTTGACTGATATGCTTATCTGGCCCAGAGCAGCCCATTAGCCCCCTCCTTCGCCACCTGCATATATCTCCTGGATTATCCTTAAACCATCCCCCTCCCAACTGCCTCCCCCTGCCCAGAGCTGGACAGTCTTGTCAAGCACAGACCACATTCCACGCTTACTTTGTCCATGTCACTCTTGGTCTTACCTCTCTGTTCACTGATCAGAAATCACCATTGGTGGCAAAACGCACTCCCCATCCCATGAATGCCTTCTCTCCAAGATGAATGGTCATGGCTTGGATCAGCTCCAGGGGGCTTTGAGAAGACACCACTCAAGTCTTCATCAGGTTCTTGAGATGACATCCACATTGGTTACTTTCCTCCCTCTCCTCGGAGGCTGACTTTGGAAGATGGTTGGCTTTGCATCTAGTCCTCAATAACTCAAACTTATTCCTTGGTCAGAATGACACCTAGCTCCTGCATTTACTCTGTGCCCAGGAGTTGGTTTTAAAGGTGTGAATTTATCCAGCCTGTTTTTGTGAAGAAAGATTGCCTTGTGATATCAGGCCAGGCACGTGGTGGGGAGGGGCAGGGGGGCTCAGGTCTCCATTGGTCCCTTTACTAGAAGAATATAAATAGGGTGCTTGTTACATCCTTTGTGCCCACTATCCTCCAGGAGGTCCTGCCTGTCACGCTGACAGAACAGCATTGCACTGACATTCCAGACATACTTCTGCCTGTGTAGCTGGCTGAGGGCTCTCTGTCCATGGTAGGCCTCTGTCTGCCCCATGGCATTTCCTCCTCTTTCATGAAATGACCCCATCTTCAGCTGTGTATTTCCTCCTTTAGCTTCAAGGTCAGACTACCTGTTGGACTTGTGGCTGACGAAAGGCAAAGCTAGAGTGGTGCACTCTGAGTTAGAGCTGGCCTGGCTTACCTTGTTTTGGAGTGCCAGCCCCTGCGGTGGGGGGGTGTTTTTTTCTTGGGAAAGATGATGCCTCCTTCCTGACTCTTACCTTCTCTTTGGACAGGCTGGACATCAACACTAACACCTACACATCTCAGGACCTCAAGAGTGCACTGGCAAAATTCAAGGAGGGGGCAGAAGTGGAGAGTTCAAAGGAAGACAAGGTGTGTGATATTCTTTCCAGGGAGTTAGTAAGCCTACTGGACAGCCTTGAAGGGAATCACTTCTCCCTGAAGCTGTTAAAATAAACATGGGGTTATGATAATAATATTGTAAAATAATTTAAAGGGCAGTTATGCCAAATAAGTAATCCTTTATAGACAATTTAAAAATATATACCAGTGGGTGCCTGGGTGGCTCAGTTGGTTGAGCGACTGCCGTCGGCTCAGGTCATGATCCTGGAGTCCCGGGATTGAGTCCCACATCGGGCTCCCTGCTCAGCGGGGGGTCTGCTTCTCCCTCTGACCCTCTTCCCTCTCGTGCTCTCTGTCTCTCATTCTCTCTCTCAAATAAATAAATAAAATCTTTAAAAATATATATATATATGTATATATATATATGTATATATATACACACCAGTGCTGGGAGCATTTCATTGTTTAGGATCCACCTTTGCGTTATATGTTTGGGGAAGATGAAGCACAAAGCAGAGATAATCATACTCTTCATTATCACAGACAAGAGTGAGGTGAATAGAGATTAAAACACAGATCTCCTCACTTACACTTGGATTGGACACAAGCTTAAAGAACAGAGGAACTGGGCTGGGAAGGAAGCCTTTATCCTTGTCCATGTCTTTTGAACATAGTAGCAAGTGTATTCCCTGTTCCAGGGCTCACGTTCCTTAAATGTACAGTGCAGGGGTGGAACAAGAGGATGGCTGAGGTTTCCTCCAGTTCTAAATTTGTGTACAGACTAAGGGAATGAGAAGGAGAAAGAGGCAGAATTGCAGCCCCTTGCTATGCCCCTCATGTCTGGGAATGCTTGTGGTTACAGACTTATACCAGAAAGAAATCTTAAACTTGAGATGGAGCACGAACTCATGTGATAGAGAATTCCAATATCATTAAAAAAAAAAAAAAAAAAAAAAATATATATATATATATATATATATGTATTTGTTGGACGAGAGAGAGAGAGCGAGAGCATGAGCACAAGCAGGGGGAGCAGCAGAGGAAGAGGGAGAAGCAGACTTTCTGCTGAGCAGAGAGCCTGATATGGGGCTTGAGCCCCGGACCCTAGGATCATGACCTGAGCTGAAGGCAGACAATTAACAGACTGAGCCACCCAAGTTCTGCTCCCTTATCATTTTTTTACACTTCCATTTGAGTCCCATCCTTGAAAGCAGCTCCTCTGATGGCTACTTTAGAGACCTTTCTAAGTTCTCCCTTCCTCTTATCCCCCTCACAGTCCTCTTTTGCTTTGTCTCTCTGCCAGTGCCCTAGAATCCTGGCAATATCTTGGAGGGGCAGCATCAGGTTCTTGACAGCTTGTATGTTAAGTGGAAGAAGCCTTGGGTCCCTCAGATCCTTTAGAGCTAAGCGTTTCTGAGACAAATGAGCTTTTTTTTTTTGGTGTCGGAGAGGACCTCATTAGGATGTGTTAATATGCAGACCATGTTCTCCATGTCTTTCCTCATCTTAGTGAAGTCACATCTCCCAGTATGGAGAGTGTATGTGGTATGAGAAGATGAGTAGCAGGATGGCAGTGGTAGCAGCAGGGGTTGTAGGAAGGTGATAGATAGAATTTCATTCTACCACAGGATAGGAGGGTGAGGAAAATCAAATCCTCTTACCTGGTGAAGCGGAGGTGAGCAGAGGAGAGAGGTGTGTGCTTAGGTGCTTAGAGCAGAGATTGATGTTCCTGTGGCCAGGGATTGGGCTCATCCTCACTCATCATCCCCTCACCGTGGGCTCCATGTGGGCCTGATGGAAACATAGCAGTCAGCCCCTGATCCATGTCTTCTCTGTGGGTGGAAGACCCACTTTACCCCATCTCTTCTCTTTGTTCTCTTTTAATGGTCTTCTTTCCCATAGTAAAGTTTGTATAGAAAAGTATGAATATTAAGAAAATGTTTTTTAACCTCACACCTGTCAGAAGGGCTAAAATTAACTCAGGAAACAAGTGTTGGTGAGGATGTGGAGAAAGGGGAACCCTCTTACACCGTTGGTGGAAATGCAAACTGGTGCAGCCATTCTGAAAAACAGTATGGAGGTTTCTCAAAAAGTTAAAAATAGAACTACCTTATGATTTAGGAATTGCACTACTAGGTATTTACCCAAAGGATACAAAAATACTGATTCAAAGGGTTATATGCACCCCGATGTTTATAGCAGCATTATCAACAAAAGCCAAATGTCCATCAACTGATGAATGGATAAAGAATATGTGGTGTACCTACACAGTGGAACATTACTCAGCCATCAAAAGGAATGAAAGCTTGCTACTTGCAATGACGTAGCTGGAGCTAGACTGTATTATGCTAAGGCAGAGAAGGACAAATACCATATGATTTCACTCATATGTGGGATTTAAGAAACAAAACAGATAAACATATGGGAAGGGGAAAAAAAAGAAAGAAGGAAACAAACCATAGGAGACTCTTAATGATAGAGAACAAACTGAGGGTTGCTGGAGGGAGGTGGGTGGGAGATAGGCTAGATGGGTGATGCTCATCACTTGTTGTGATGAGCATTGGGTGTTTTATGTAAGTGATGAATCCCTGAATTCTGCTCTTGAAACCAATATTGCACTGTATGTTAGCTAACTAGAATTTAAATAAAAATTTGAAAAAATAAAAAAAAAACCCAAATAAAGATTAAAATAAAAAAATAAAATATTTTTTAAATGTAAAAGCAAGAGATTAAGTTTTCGGTTGATTTTTTTTGCAATTAAAAAGAATCCTTTCCAATTCTTAATTGCAGGAAACTGAGGGTTGCTGGAGTGGGGGGTGGGGTGGGAGGGATAAGGTGACTGGGTGATAGACACTAGGGAGGGTTTGTGCTCTGGTAAGCGCTGTGAATTGTGCAAGACTGTTGAATCTCAGATCTGTACCTCTGAAACAAATAATGCAATATATGTTAAGAAAAAAAAAAAGAAGAAGAAGAAGGTAGTGGGAGGGGAAGAATGAAGCGGGGGAAATCGGAGGGGTAGACGAGCCATGAGAGACAATGGACTCTGAAAAACAAACTGAGGGTTCTAGAGGGGTGGGGGTGGGAGGATGGGTTAGCCTGGTGGTGGGTATTGAGGAGGGCACATTCTGCATGGAGCACTGGGTGTTATGCACAAACAATGAATCATGGAACACTTCATCTAAAACTAATGATGTAATGTATGGGGATTAACATAAGAATAAAAATAAATAAATACAAAAAAAATACAAAAAAAAAAAAAAAGAAAGAAAGAATCCTTTCCCATTGCAAGAGGAGATCCCAGTATCAGTACCCAAATGCAGGATCCTTATTCAAGCTGGTATAAGTCAACTGCTGTTTGCAAGATAAGGCTGACACACTCCTTACTTCTTTGGAGTGTAGGTTGTTGGCTTCTTCACTGAGGTGCTAGAGCCTGGGGTTTTTCTCCTGCTTTCATTTGGAGCCTTTTGGGATTGACTCAGCTCATCGTCAGTGCCCTTGGGACTGGCAAATAAATTGACTTGAAGTAGGTTGGGGAGTTTCTGACATGTCTCAAGCTCTTGGCTGCAGATGGCATTATGCTTTTTGTTTATCAGTCTTTAAACTCAAGTTGTGTGGTGGCTTGCAAGAACAGGATGGTGCTTTTGCTATTTATAAAAGCAATACTGTCAAATATTGTGCCGTATCCTATCATTTGAGTGAATGTTTTTCTGACTTGATTTTTTAGGGGGAAGGGCACCAATTCTATTGTATATGTTTGTACCTTAGATTTAAATGAATCAGTCCTTCCCAGAACCCCTTACCTTGTGGAAAAACTCGCATCTAGCCAGACAGATTTGGACTGTTGAATCTGATCCCTTTATACCTCTATTACCATACAAATGGCTTGATGCCCTATTTTATTATGTCAGCTGTTGTTCACCTGTATCCTATAAATTGTTCCATTTAAAAACATGACCTTCTTAAACTTTTGATGCTGGACAAGATAAAGTAGACTCATTTCTTAATATTACTCCTGCTAAGGACAACTAAAAACCTTGGACATAATACTAAAAGCAAATATAAGAAGACTCTAAAAGGTGGGAAGAAGAAAGGAGACTGGCTAGTGACCTTGGAACTTGAAGAATAACATGATAGTGAGTTCCTTGGACATTCTTTTTGCCCTTTGTATATCCCAGAGTGGGCATTCGAGAGGCCCACATCCAGGAAATGCCAACAGGTACAGATAGAAAAAAGCCCTAAAAAAGACCTATTCTTTCTAGAGAAATTGCTAGGAAAAGGGCAGCCTAAAAGAACTAAACCCTTTTTGACAATATCTGTCCTACTTTAGCCAAAGACGATGGAAATCTCCCACCCCACCCTTAGTGCCAGTGGAAATTGAAGGGAAACTTGGATTTCCACCTCCCACTTTGTGGTAGCAGGCTGCACTCTTATTCCTCCACCAGAGTGGTGTCAGCAGAGACCGAGTGGGTAGACCGAACTTCTACCCCCTATCTCTGGCAATGATATGATGTGATGCAGGATTCTGCTACCTTGACCAAGGTGGCATCAGTGAGCCTTGAACAGAGAGCTGGAATTCCTACCCTCTGCCCAATGGTAGGATACTATTCTCTGTTTCCCCTGCTGGTGTGGTACCAGCAGACACCAAGTGTGGAGCCTGGTTTTCCACCCTCTACATTGGGGGTAGCAAGCTGCTTCTCCTGTTGGGGTGGTGTCAGTAGAGGCCAAGAAGGATATTTGAATGTCTTCTTCTGCCTGACACTACCAAGGTGGTTTTTCACTTGGAGCAGAGGTGATGCCATTGTGTGTGTTGGTCGGGTTGGGGGGAATGGGTGGTGGTGAATGGGGAATCTGTAGTCTGACCTTCTACTTGGTGGCACTGAGATAGCGTGAGGCATCATTTTGCTCCCCACTCTGGGACATTGTCAGTGAGGGTAAGTGAGGAGCCTGAACTTCCACCCTCACACCAGCATCAGTGAAGCAGTGTTTCAGTTCCCCCAGCAGGGTGATAAAGAGGCCAAGGAAGGACTTCT